GAGAGTGCGGCGCTGGTAGCACCGAGGCTGTGGGTTCGGATCCTATATAGGTATGACCGGTGTGCTCACTGGCTGAGTGTGGTGCAAATGACATCAAGCCAAGGGTTACGATCCCCTTACTGGTCACACACAAAAAAATTATCAGCTGAAATAACAGCTAAAAATAAAAATATAGGAGCTTTTTTTTTCCTGGTGGTTGGCCGGTACAGGGATCAAACCCTGGACCACAATGTTATCAGCACCATGCTCTAACCAACTGAGCTAACCAGTCAGCCCCAAATATAGAAGCTTTGTGATTAGAGTTTCTGAATACTAGCTTTCCTTACTATTTCTCTAAGTCTTGGGAGGCAGAGTATCTGGCATTCAATTAAAAAGTACAAGAGACAGTTCCAATTAAGCTGACAAAAATTATAAAGAATAGTATAGGTATAATTTAACATTAAAAAGCATTTACAATTAATCTCCCAAGGAAATTTACTATTAAAACAACAAACAAAAACCATAAAATATATGCTACACACCAACACAGGCACACAAAGACACTGGTGTGGCATTAAAGAGAAACTCAATGGTGACTATTCTAAAATAATATACGTAGGTTGAGACTATTCATAAGTATTTGAATGGGTATACCCCTTATAATAAAACAAACTAATTATAACTCCAAACTCCCTATTTACTAGAATACAATTTAAACAATAGATGCTACATAAGTTTCTTTTTTAAAAAATGATAATTGTTTCAAAGACAACTAAATTTAATCTGCAAAGACAACATGACAAAAATGCTTGGCTAAAAACTTTCAGTACAATGCTCTAATTAAAAGTGGGGAATATGATTAGAGGCATACTAAAACACAAAGCAAAATGCCTGTCAAGTGAAACTTGAATTCCACTAAATCCTACTTACTATCCTTCCAATACATTTCTTTTTGCTCAAGTTAGCTAGAGTCAGTTTCTGTTGCTCACAATCAAGGAACCCTAACTGATATCTCTAGGTACCCAATTCTAGGTTAAGAGTGGCCTGTTGAAAATGGGGCATATTTACAAAATAGACTGGTACAATTACCATAACAAAAAAAAGCTTAAATTTTAGGCACAGTCAAATTTTTATTTGTTTTTTGGCCTGTTGAAAATGGGGCATATTTACAAAATAGACTGGTACAATTACCATAACAAAAAAAGCTTAAATTTTAGGCACAGTCAAATTTTTATTTGTTTTTGGTTTTTTTTTTTTTGTCTTTTTCCGTGTCCGGCAACGGATCGCAACCCTCAGTGTCGCCCCCGTACCGGACCGGGACCAGCAACGGGATTGCAGCCCTCAGTGTTGCTCCCGCGCCTCGCTCAGCCAGTGAGCGGGAACCGGTCTGTATGTGGGATCCGAACCCTCGGCGGGAGCGCCGCCGCACTTCCAAAGCAGCGCACTATAGCAGTGCGCCACCAGGCCGGCCCAGGCACAGTCAAATTTTTAGAGACTACTGAATAAGTATACAGAAGGTCAAAGCCTTGCTCTAATTGTCACCAAGCAATTTCTGTTGGAAGTTTTGGAATAGAGTCAGAGTTCAATATATATTTCATAGGCATGAGTTATCAATTCATTTATTTTTCTTTCTGAAAGCAAATTATGATCTAATTCATCATTTGGTTTCCTACGCATATCATTTTCTACTTTAAATTTTTTAAAATGAGTTCTTATCATGAATGAATATTTCAAATATTTTTAATATTTTAAAATTACTTTTTTAAATATTTTATTTTTACATATATTCATATCTTTCTTACATTTTCCCCAAAAGTAGCACATACTTGAAGCAAATCAAATACAAAGATTAATAGAGAAAAAGTTAATTTTTCCTCTACCTCATCCCTTTAGGTCCCACCTTCCTGAAATAACTAAAACTGATAATTTGGTATATATACTTTCACTGACTTTTGCATATTCAAGTAATTTCTTTTTATACAAATGAAATCACATTATACACATTACTCAACTTACCTAACAATACATCTTGGACATACCTCCAGAATATAGCATATAACTCAATTCATTCTTTTTAATTGCTGCCTAATAATCCACTGTATGGACATATCACACTTGGTGATGGAATTCAATTAGTGATGGGAGTAGAACTGTCAGACTTTCCAGATTATTCTGATTTCCAATCCAATTAATGGTGTAATTAGCATTCTTGTACATGTATCCTTATATACAGGAGGACAGATAGCAAAAAGTAGAATTGCTGGGTCAAAAAGAATGAAAAATGATACTTACACTTTTTAAGCCTTGCATTTGGAAAAATTTTGTATATACAAAAATAAAAGGAATGAAAAATAATGAACTCCCATTTACCTATCATTCAACTTTAACAATTGCCAAATTTCAACGCTCCATTTTCCCCTTTTCTATGAAATTTAAACAAATCCCTTTTTTGTATTTTTGTCTCCATGAATGACTCTAAAAGTTTATCAAAATCCTTTTGGAACACTGGTTATATAGTAACCTCCAGTTTTTATAGTCTCTTTAATTTTATACATAAAAACTTTTTTAAAAAAGTTACCCATAATATTCACTTCCTCCCTCCACTGAGCTCTTTGCAATGGAGAAACAGCAGAATCAAAGCATCTAAGACAGTAGAAAAAGAGACTAGGAAAGACCATCCTAAAAGCATAAAAAGACCTTGAGGAGGAACAATATCAGCCAGGCACAGAGTATATTAAGTGACAGAAGCAACAAAGAGAAAGAAAAGGGTAACATTAAGTAGATTTTTAAAAGCTAGCATTAGCTGGTAGGAAAAGTACTTAAGGGATTGTTGGTGGTCTGAGTGGGAAATTTAAGCAAAGAAATAGCAATTCAAGAGGAATAGGGCATGCAATTTGAATGTATTTTGGAACTAGCTGCTTAAAATATGTTGCACTGATCAAAAAACTAGATGAATAGCCACTTAGTACTCTCCCAGCAAAAGATATTTGGAAGGAAAAACATCACAAATGTGTAACAAAATAACATTCATTTCTTTTTAAATACCAGTAACATCCCTACTAAAGAAGAACAATATAGAATGTGTATATATGTACACATACATTCAAAAGTAATACTAATGTGAATATATTCCTGGAAAAATAAAAGCCATGTAATGAAATTTTAAATGTAGTAGAGACATGGGCTACTTAAAGGAATCCTAAAGTAGATTATTTTATGCAGTGAACATTTTATAAAATAAAGAATAATATACTAATTCATTTTACTTAAAGCATGGTTTCCTGTTTTAAATATTAAGGTCACTAATCCACAAAGCATTTATTGAGTATGCACTATATAGGCACTGTACATACTCAAACAAAACATCACTCCTGCCCTTTAGGGGCTTATAGTCTAGTGAGTGATTTAGACAAAATTATAATGTGATACAGTTTAATGGCATTATTTTAAAAGTCTATAGATTAACATAGGAAGGACCACTGAACTGTGGCTTAGGAGAGTCAGCAAAGGATTTATAGAGGAGCTGATGTCTGAGTTGAATGCTGAAGGCTAAAAAATTCTGAAATGAGGGGAGAAAGAATTTCTAAAACTTACGCAAAGCCTTGGTGATTTATCTCAATACATTTAAATTGGAAATATTTCTCTAATGTAGATTTAACAACCATATGTAGTTTAGTTAAAAGTATTAAAATTTTTTGTTATACCATTTATGTGAGATTGATGTATGTGTGTGCATATACATGTGTATGTGTTAAAGATGTAGCTAAAGTTTAGAGTGAATCCATGTATTATCTTCCACTCCCTTCCTGATACCCCATCTAAAATAAAAGTAAGTAGATTTAAAAGCAAAATGAGGGTTCATAAAGACACAAGAACAGCAAAAAGCTGAATCCTAACTCAGTAACTGTGGGGAAGCTAAGAAGCAACCAGATTTATATCTCTGTGAGAGTGGGCAAGGATGGGCTAAATACAAGGATTTGTGGAAAACCTACTAATGAAGCAGTTAGATCTTGAAATCTCATCTGTCACTCCAAAGAACTTGGCAACTGCCCCTCCTTCACCCTATCTGATGTCTTCTGGTCTAGTCTCTCCAGATTGGAGGGCATTAGTGCAGTTGAGGGAGGGTGGTATTGGAGAAGGTAAAATACTTTTGAAACGGGAAATTAAGTAACTGCATATTGAGGGCCGAGCCCGTGGCGCACTCGGGAGAGTGCGGCGCTGGGAGCGTAGCAACACTCCTGCCGCGGGTACGGATCCTATATAGGACTGGCCAGTGGGTGCGCTTGCTGGCTGAGCATGGTGTGGGCGACACCACACCAAGGGTTGCAATCCCCTTACCGGTCACGAAAAAGACAAAAAAAAAAAAAAAGTAACTGCATATTGAGAATCTTCTTCCTACCCATCTTCCAAAATGCTAGCAGCTACAGTATACACACTCTCCAAAGCAGCAGACTCAAAAGAGTTTCTCTGGATAACTGACCAACGCAAAAGAAACACCTAAAACATATGGGCATTCAGGGTTTCCCAAGAAACAGCCCAGCCAGATATCACAGAAAAACTTGTAATCAACAAGCTGGAATATCACCGTAACTTCCAATCGGATTTGTGGTACACAACTCTAAGAATCACCAGATATTTGATGAAAGCCTCTATTATAAAAGACAGAGGCTAAAGAAAATAAACAGAAAAAGTAACTTGAAGAAAAGAGACTATAGAGAAGAAAAAAGAACTTTCAGTAATACCTTCAAAAAAAGGTAAAAGGGGGCCGGCCCGGTGGCGCACTGGATAGTGCGCCGCTTGGGAAGCACGGCGGCGCTCCCGCCCGAGGGTTCGGATCCCACATACAGACCGGTTCCCGCTCACTGGCTGAGCGAGGCACGGGAGCAACACCGAGGGTTGCAATCCCGTTGCCGGTCCCCGGTCCAGTACGGGGGCAACACTGAGGGTTGCGATCCGTTGCCGGACACGGAAAAAAAAAAAAAAAAAAAAAAAAAAAAAAAA